TTCGGAGGATATTTACTACTATGGATGCACGATATATCGGCGACCATTTCGTTATCTGCCAATAAATGCTATTTTTAAGATTATCGGTAACGATAATCTCTCCTCACACTGTTTATTCCTTCAAAGTCCATCCTTTTTTCATGTGGTATTGCTGTGCTTTAATAACTCAGTTAGTAACCATATTCCTTTTTTTTGTAGGTATGTTTGATTGAGTGCCATTGTGTATTTTGCTTGAAATCGCCTCAGGAAAAAATGTTACATGTGTAAACATAAAAGCAGCGATGCACACGTGCTAAACAACTGGGTTGTCTGTAATCTACAATGATTATTTGTTATTATCAACGCTTTGCTTGCCTTGTGTTATTGATGTAAGATTGTATTCAGTTTGATCAGAATATTCATATTGATTATTACGAGCGCGCATGAGGACTGTCACCCCACACACACACACACACACACAAACACACACACACACACACACACACACACACACACACACACACACACACACACTGATCTGACAGCCTTCACAGCAGCACAGGGGAGAGGTTCGCCAGTTGCTGAATCCAGCATAGTGGGTCTCAACTCGCTGCACATTCTGTCTTTATATTATGCTCTGTGTTTTGTCATAAAGTCATCTGTGCTCAATGATCAAGTGTTAAATCAAAATCTGACACCGAGGGCAAATCTGCGCCTGCAGTTGAGTGAAACTCACAGCGGTTTATCATAAACTTTTCATCGATAATTTTTCCCTCAATTGACAGCAAGAACGAACAGAGAAGCATTGACAAGCAGCAGCTACATGTGTTCAAAAGAATCTGAAACGCCAAATAGGATGAATCTATGCCGTATTTTATAAAGCAATACAATCTGTATTTAGCTTTTCGCTTGTATGGTGGCTCTAAACTGTCAAAACACCTCTAAAAAAAAACTTTTTCGGACATTACATATGTGTTTACATGTACATCACTATAACACGTTTTATTTAAGAACATTTCAGCTGGTTTCAGTCCTCAGCTCTTTCATTTTAATTTTGTTTAAAATATATTTAACTTGCTTGTTGATTAAATACCATTTTGTTATTTAACCTGTTATTTTTATGCAACAGTCAAGTTGAATGTTAATTTGCTATGAAGAAAAGGCATGCTTTTTTGCATGCTGATTTATGTGAAATCGTGAATATAGGTCTATGGTCACCTTGCAATTCTGAAATTATAGCTTTTTTGCTTTGTGTATACACTATTCAGTTCATAAGAGCAGTTCAATCTTTTATGAAGTTTGCTGTTTAAAAAAATATTAAATTTTGAAATACTTATAATTATCAGCACATATATATATATCGGCTATCGGCCTCCAAGTCTGAAGAGTTATCGGTTATTGATATCGGCCAAAAAATCCATATCGGTGCATCCCTATTTACTACAAATCAATTTGATTAATTACCGTAGATCCAGATCAGCCGTTTAACTACAGGTTACTCTATAAAAGGACTGGCTTTGTAATGTACTTTAAGTTGCTTTGAATAAACAAGTTACCTAAAAGTCAAAGTGCAGTCATTATTAAAAAAAGCACCAGAATTCTCCTCACAGCGAACTTCTTTGGGGGGCCCCTAAGCACATGTTCAGATGTGTAAATCTGTTTCAACACGCATGTATTAATGTATTAACGGTGGTTTTAAAGTCTCCCTCTGTTCAACACACAGCCCAACACTGTTTAGCGCTGACTGAAACCGTCCAGATGACGTGATGGTGTAGCAAACAGGTCAACATAGCAGCCGCTGAAAGCGAGTATTGTGCCGTACGTAACACCCGTGATCTCCTCGTCGCCGGACACTCTGCCCCGATCCCCCAGAATTCCCCAAGGAAACCGTATCTCCCAAAGCCAATGCAGAAATGTGAGGCCTACTGTTAGCAGCGTCTGAAAAAGATTGACTGTTTGGGCTCTAAGTGCTCGCTGTTGACACAAGCCTCTCTTTCATATGCAGCAGAGCACGGAGCACTCGGGCTAAGTACACAGTTTGTGTTAAAGGTTGGTCCGCTCGTACCGTGGGTTTGGAGAATTTCATCCACCGTGCTCTTCACCCGCAGAGTGGCTTGGGATTTTTGAAACGAAAAACGCAAACACTTGAAAATAAAGTCAAGAACAGGTTGGCAATTTGTAAAATAACATGATGAATCAGCTGCTCGATTGTTCAGAAGAGATCAAGAGCAGTCAATAAATCACAACAGAGCATGCTTATTGATGTCCGCTGTCTTATTTGTTTATGTTTGCTTTATGTTATTACTGGTAGCACTATACGCTTGTTAAGTCTTGACGTATCGGTGACGTATAAAGTACTGTTTATGGGTCCAAGACACTACTCATTTAAATTGAGAAAATATTCATTTATGACCACTTTTTAGTCATATCACACATTTGTTATACCATGGTGTCCACAACAGTTTCAGGACTTACTGCATCACAGACATCAATATTTTAACAATTTATAAAACATTTGTCACTTTCTAGCCATCGAATATTAGGCATGGATATATATTTTGCAATTGTGATTTTCGAAGTCATTACATCACTTTGTAAACGTTTATTATTACCATTTGATGAGTCTCCCCATACAGTTTGATATAGTGCTTGCACCTGGAAGCCATTTCGCATGACGTCACATTTAACAAGAGACGTCAAGTTTATTACTGTTAGTGTGATTCATTTTATGGATCAGTGGAATTCTGAATGATTTATACTTATTAGGGATATTTTGATAGCGTATATTACTGTGGTAATGTTATTTTCTAAATTGTGTTTACACAGTAGTTTTTAATTGTATTTTTCATATTGCGCACTCTATCCTTGGAATTAGGGTTGTGCAATATATAATTTCTGCATCGATATCGCAATCTGTGTATCCACAATAGTCACATATATATATATATATATATATAGTTATAAGGTAACTTTGCAGTGTAATTTTTACATTTACATATGCAAAACCGTAATGCACGCATTTCACTTTTAACGTTGATTTGCTGCATGTATCTATGTTTATAGTTTGTTTACTACATTAAATGCATTATTTACTCACCTACAGAATCATTCCAGTCAATCACAATTAATACATTTGATAACTCCAATTCTCATTATTAACTAGTTGCTTATTAGCATGCATGTTTTTGAGGTGCTCATTAGTACTTGGGCCCAATCACAATTCTACTCCTTAGCCCTTCCCCTTACCTCTAGTTTTGCGCGTTTATGTCAAGGGGTAGGGGTGTCCCAATTCTCTTTAGCTTGAAGGCGTAGGGCTAAAGGGAAGGGGTGAATAGCCCTTTGAACGAAGATTTTTCAGGACCACGCTCGAAACCAAGGCGTAAGAAAATTGTGTAAAAAAAGTGATTGACGGTTGGTCATTTGTTTGTAACTTTATTTATGGTTTGGTTATGGGTAAAACAAAGACCATGTGGGTCAGGTAGTGAAAACGGTAGGCTACAATTAATTAATTCACTATGAATTTATTGTTATATAACAACCATCGTGTCGTCCATCGCGATGTTTCACATTAGACATCGGACGATGCCAAATTGGTCAACATCGGCCAACCCTAGTATGTACTAGGGCTGCACAGTTTACAGGTACTATGGTAGTATTGTGATACTGTGGCTCCAGAGTTCTGGCGTTGCCACTGTAGTTTGTAAGCAGTAGTATCGTCATTAAAAGTTTATCTAAAATACGTAATGTTGCATGGGGTGTCACTAAAATGCTCACACGTGCAACAATAGACCATTTTATTTTAATAGTTTATGAAACCCTCTAAGGTTGCAAAACTGTAGAATTCAATTCATTTTTTTGATTTTTTTGATTGTGTCAAAGCAGCTTAACATGGAAGATCTAATAAATTGAAAATGTGTCAGTCTAGTTTTCAGATACCACAAAATGTGCACCTTTTACGGTAGCCTATTGCACGTTTTCTGCAGCTTAACGTGGAAGATTATAGTAAGCTGAAACTGTCAGTCAGAGTTGAAGTTCAGTTTGGTTCAGTTCAGTGCGATTTAATTTTCACTGCTGAAACTCCAAACACTGAAGAGCAAATCCATGGATGCGCAGCTCCACAAGTCCCAAATCAAGCAAGCCAGTGGCGACAGTAGCGAGAAACAAACTTCACCGATTGACGAAAGTGAAGGAAAAAGTTTTACTAAAATAACACTGATTCAAAGGGATGTAGGTATAGATAGACGGATAGATAGATAGATTTTTAATTTTATATAATAATGTTATTTCAAATCAGAAAATAATGGCTCGAATGACGCCAAAGAATAGCCCTCTCATCACTGAACCTCCTCTTACCCAGAAATATTTGAGGCATTTCTCCTGTCATGTACTCGAGCTGTCAAAATGACCCAACGTATAAATTTGAGATCATTTTTAAGTAGCCAAAATCTGAAACACGGAAGACACCAGAGATTGTCCTGGGGTTTCTTCTTTATTCAGCATTACTTGAATTACACTGAAAGCTGCAAGGCCTGCATTCATCAAAATTCGAGTATAGCAGTTGCTTATTGAGGAAAAGTGCCGGCGAATCACCAAGTTTGGTAAAAATCCACCCTGAAAAGTGCAAAACCGTTCCAATAACATCTGCATTTTCCCTGCAGGTGTGGCATCCACACTAGGGAAATAATCTCACCTCCGAGCGCAATACATGTAATTCAGAAACCACGACTGATGTGGAGCTCCAAACATGACAGACGCCTCTGAAATTATGAGTTTTGAATGTCGCAGTAAGCCTTCGAGGTTTTTTTTTCAATGTTTTTTTTAATACACAGTACACTTGAATTCACTCTTGATTACAGAATTCCTCGCTTTTAGACGGGCGCATCTGTTTTGGCCGGAATTTTCTTTTCTTGGCATTGGAACGGCTGCGGCGGTGCATCATCGTCCCTCAGATGGCCAGCTGATGCTGCAACACACGTTTTCTGAATAATGCGATTGACCACCATAAATTGTTTTCGTTCCAGGCTTCATCACAGCAGCTGAAGTTCACAACGTCAGACTCGTGCGACCGCATCAAGGACGAGTTCCAGTTTCTTCAAGCACAATACCACAGGTACATTCACACACACACACACACACTTACACACACATTCAGTATCTAAAAGAGTTCACTTAACTAAAACTCAATTGAATCACTCCAGTCTTGTATTGTTTTTCTTTTTTATATAATATTGTAGTATTTATTAATTTATTTGTGACCCAAGAACATGAAATCAATGTTAATGTATAACCTTGACGTTCACTTTCATTTCACTTGACTTTCATTGATGTACTGATGGAAACAAATGGCCATGTCTAGCTTGTGAAATATATTGTTGTTGTTTTGGATCATTTCATCTAATCTGTTGATTTGGTTTCTTGTTTCAAGTGTGAATGATGAATTGGTTCACTTGACTCCAATATATTCGAAGCATGCGTGCAAAATAGACATATTTTATTTATGTGTTGCGTGTATAACCTTATGTGTTATTTGGGATGTTTTTATCCACTCTGGGGGGAATTTTGATTCTTAATTTGGCCACAACTTTCTCTGTTTTAGCAAACGGAATGTTTTTTGTTGACATTTCTTATTTTGATTAAAAAAATGGCCACGAAACCCCCCTTTCAGCAGGGTGTTTTCACACCTCTAGTTTGGAAAAGGTCAGGAAAGTAGGCGTATTCAGCTCTGTTTAGGGGGGAGTATCGGAGGAGGGAAACAGGTGCATAAAAATTTGCATAAAAATGGGAGTTTAGGTTTGGGCACATGCTGATTTCACAGAGGCAAACCAAACACACAGACGCAGGAGAGAAAGACAGTGACTGTGTTTACATGGACATCAGTAATTGAACTATTTGGCAAAAATGTGGACCTTAACTGCAGTTTGGCACTTTCATTCAGGAACATGTCTTTCATGCCCCCTGTGACAAACATGATATTTGATTTGAAGAACTGCTGGAAGCGTGTATTTTTAATGCAGTGTTTGACACCGCACGACGAATGAGATAAAAAAACCCTCCGCATTTCTTGGTAACTTGGATGCAATTGGTAGGTACCACGTGGTAGGTAGCCACGTGTGTTATTCCTGTCACCAAAAATTCTACACGACAACTCTATAATTCTAATAGTTTGATTGTGGTGTTTACATGTTTACTCTCGGAGAGCAGCATTTACAGCAGATCTTTCAGTCTAAAATATTGTAATGATATTAACGTACTGTAAACTTTATTAACTTCTAAATCATTTTGATTAAGGTCTGTCTTTAAACACTGAAAGAGTACTGCTGACGAAACAAACTAACTTTGCCATCTAAATAAACAAACTAAGAACAATGATCGCTTACTTACCAAATCTGTAGAGACAGGACAATCAACACCAACTGGAGCCGCAAATTTTTAAAAAGGAAATGAGCAGCAAATTCGGATTTCGCTATTTCCAGTTGTAAAAAGCTCTCGCTCTCACACATATTTTTATCGAGCGTCGCGTGCACTGTAATTCACACGTGAGTCCAGTTGCACTCTCATAGAGGGAAAATAAAAACGAAACCTTCGATGCAGCAAATTATAAAAGCAACACTGACGACCCATATCTCCAAACAATTCTTCTTTTCTTTTCAAACCGGAAGAACGAATTTGCTCAAAATAACACAAAAGCAACCATTTTTCACTTTGTAGTGAAACAAATGTGTCCTAATAGTGTTTTTAGCTGCGTGGGCACGTATATGACTGTTAGCAGCTCAAAAAATGTGTTTTGGTGTTTCGTGAACCTTTAATGCAAAAATTCAACAGTACAGCAAATTTACTACCCTTTCATTATGTTGGTGGCCGTTTTTGTCCCATTGACTTTCATTATAAACACATTTTTTGATTGCAAATACATGACACCAAATAATCATACATTCTTGATTGTTGCTGATTTTCCATGTTGGGAAGAGGTAAAATTACCAATTTTTACTGTTGATCATCAGTTGCAGTGAAAAAAAAGTTTCTGGATACATTATATTGTTATAAGAAGTATGGTGTGAGTGTGAGAGAGACCTTTGTTGCTATGGTATGTTTGAGAAAATAAAAAATGAGTAGCTCAACTCTGAACGTAGTAAGCATAGTAAGTGTATTTATGCACGCAAACTATAATTTACTCCACAGAACAAAAGTCAGAAACTGTGTCTATCTAAAGAGTTAAAGCTGCCAACTGATGATCAACAGTAAAAATGAAATGTTTTACCTATTCCCAACAGTAAAAAAACACAAACATTCATGAATGCATGATTATATTCTGTCATGGCTTTGCTGTCAAAAAATGTTGTTATAATAAAGCCAATGGGCAAAAACAGCCACTAACATAGCAAAAGTGTAGTCAATTTGAACTGTACGCAAGGGTTAAAGCATTTTAGTGAACATTTTGATGCCACCAGCACATTATCATCCCATTACTAGTCTGATTTAATGAGTCACGATTCAGTGAGTCAGATGTCATTTTCAGAAGCTGGTCTGACTGATTGTGTGAATTCATTTTGTAAAGGAATTGCCAGATCGGTTTAGTTTTATAGTTCACTTAGTTTGAGTGCAATTTAATTAAAAGTAGTTTTGTTGAATCCAACTACAGTTACAAGTAGGGAAGATGAGTGAGTCAGATGCTAGCTTATCAACTAGTCTGATTTATTCAGTGAGTCTGTTGTGAGATGGAGCCACTAGACCAGTGGTTCTCAAACTTTTTTCATCAAGTACCACCTCAGAAAAAAATTGTCTCTCCAAGTACCACCAAAATGAGCAGTATTGAAATACAGTAGCGTAGTAGGCCTAGTAAAGCAGCTACAACTCTGCACAGTTAAAAAACGTGGCAGATTACCTTAGAAATATAGGCTATATGTCATATATGGCATATTATATACATCATTTTTGATAAATTTTGAAATATATCTAGCATGTACATGACATATTTCATTCCTCCGTGTACCACTAGAACGAAATCCGTGTACCAGTAGTGGTACACGTACCACAGTTTGAGAACCACTGCACTAGACTGATTCAGTTTTCTTGTGTGATTTGTTAAAAAGAACCATAACCAAGGCAGCGAGAGCGTCAAAGTAGCTGGAAGTCATTCATTTTCGATGAGAGCCAGCAAAGATAAGTGGCGTGGTGCCTCTTCGCCAGTATGGGTGTCAAGGAGAGTTAAAATCAAGTGAACTTTATGGTAATGAACTATGATGTGGTTCGGCGGCAAGCAGTCGTAATGTAGATGTCCACCGCTTGAGTAGATTCCAGGGAACTCAATCTTGTGAACTTTGGTTTCAACCACAGTTGTTCCTAAGTTTTTGATAATTGCAGTCGCCGGATTTTCAGGTATTTACTATGTTTTCTTACAGAGAGTTAAAGTTACTAGCGTGTTGAAGTGTATTAATGCTTATTTAAATGCAAGAAAAGCAAATTCTGACGCTCTCGCCGGCAGTACAGTAAAGGCAGACAATGTTGTCGCCAAGGTGGCCAGAGTAAACTTTGATGGTCTTGCCACCTTCAGTGTGAACGCACAGTAAAGCTGGATTTATACTTTCGCCTGGCACCGCAACGCGCACCTCGGCTGACTGCATGCGCACCTCGCGAAATTGACGAGGCTTTTAAACTTGCAGCGTTCGCCGTTGTGATATTCTTTCAAACAATGGGGGGCGGTCAAAAGAAACCCATTGTAAAATCAGACGGATAAACGGAGAAGTAGGAAGTTTCAGAAACTACGTTGTCATATTAATATTATTCAATATTTTAAAAATAATAGTTTTTATTATTTTTATAAATTATTTTAATGATTATAAGGATTTTTATAACCATTCAAGATTTTTTTAATCAAACTTTGATGCATCACATGCTTTTGTTTATCGCTAACATTTTACCTTTTGAAGTTTATTAAAATATTAATGAAAACAGATCATGGGTTGCTCTACAAATCTAATTTTATTATGGCAAGAATAATTGTTTGATTTGGCCCAATATCCCATTTAAGAAGAGTAGGAGAATGATGGGGACCTGGTTAAGGTGAATATCTTTCATAGAGATCGTCATTTCGAATTTAATGAAACATTTTTTTTTTCTTTTGTAATTTTTTTGTTTTGTTTTGTAAATGAATCTTATTTTTAATATGTAAATACTGTGACTCTATGGATAAAGGGTAATGCACAAGACATCATTGATATTCATAAATATTCAGCATTGAATTCTATTGTATCATAGGATTGTTAATGTTTACTGTAGTAAGTTCATTATAATTTATTTAGTTGATCAAATTTAAAGCAACATTTTATAGTTGTTTGTAAATATTAGGAAGTAAATTAGGTCGAAATTACTTGTGGAATATTTAATGTATACGTATATTTACCTTTGGCCCAAAGGCCTCAATCAAGGTTTTTTTTTTGCCTTTCAAAAGAAAGTTTGGGCACCCTTGCTTTAAAAGAACTAGTTCATGTTAGCTACAAAAGAAAAACCAGTCGTAATGTAACAACTTGATTTAGTGAGCATATCATGTTAACTTTTCTGATTGATTCAGCAAACTCGATCTGTGACTAATTCAGAAGGGCTATGATTCAGCGAGTGGGTCAGTAACTTCTCTGACTAAGTGTGATCAGGATGTAAAAGAACCACCAGACTGATTCTGAGTTGTCGTCTGCTATTTGTTAAAAGAATCAGTTCATAAGACAAATGTGTTCAAGAGTCCGACTGCAGTAGAAATGAGGAACTTGATTCATTAAGAGAGTGAGTCGAAGTTTGCAATTAATTTAGTGACTTCTGATTGATTCTGTGAGTTTATTATGTCATTGACGTCCCAGACTATGTCAACTATCCTTGAAAGAACCATATCAAATAAGTAATATTACTCACGAATCAGACTACGCTACAAAAGAACGACCACTACATACATTATCAAAAGAATTCTCATTTTGCTTTCGGAACAACATTGATTTTGCTTAACTGTTTCTTTAAGGTGGCCCTCTACAAAGTGCCGTGACTAAACTATTAGCTGACATGTTTTTTTTATCGCTCCTAACAAGCTTCCCCCAGTGCCGCAATCCCATGTCGATTAACACTGTG